GGCGGTCACATGACGGCCAGGGCGGCCCGCAAGTCCAGGCGACGGGCGGGCGGGCGGGCGGGCGACGAGGCGGCGACGGCGGCCGCATGGCGGCCAGAGCGGCCCACAGGCCCAGTTCATTGTCCAAGAATTGAGAACCCCTTGGTGCAAACACTGTCTGCGGAATGCTAAACAAGTCAGCGCCGCATCAGGAACGGAGATCACAATACAACTATGGCCAATGGCAATACGAATGGCGAGTCGTAACTGAAGTAACAGAATAAAGATAAGGATGCGAATAATACCAATACTAATACAAGCGCTGAGAATAATCAAACTGATGGCAATACTGATAGCATGATCCGATTGGAGAAAATCTGGACGTCATAACCACCCCACTTCCCTCCTGCGCCGTACAAGTCGGACGCAACCTGATCTACCACGAATGCACGCGCATCTCTAAATAGATGCCACCCGATGTGTGGTTGCCGTCGGAAGACGCGCAATGATGGGGCATACGTGTGCCCAGTGCTTGGAGTCGAGAGCAAATGCGTCCATGGCAGCACAACTCTGGCGACAACGCGCTCCCCTGTTGTCAAATACTTGAGTGTGCCTGACTGCCGTACCGCAAGGGACTCCTTGGCAAACCATCCCGCTCAGCAGTGCCCCTTTGACAACATGGCAGTGGAAACAAGCGGCAACTAGCCAAAGGCAACATGCTCAAGATGCATTGATCGTGGAAGTGTCAGAAGGGATGAACATCCACCTACCCCTGGTGCAGGAGCACAATGCATCGCCCGAACACGCCGCAGTGGTGGTCGAAACCTTGCCAGATTAGCTGTGCAGACTGCATCGCGGCGCTGAGAAAGCAAAGGCGGTATAGCATGTCCCTGAATGGTGCTACAACGAGTGCAGAAACCAAACGGGATTGACCATCCAATCTGAACACCATGTCCTGAAACAAGAGATCGTAAGCGCATTGTCCTTTGCACGCTGGCCTATCCCCATTTACACGATTATCATACTATCACTCAATCACCTTCTGGCAGATCTGGACATGTATGGATTGCCACTTCTGCAGAGTCTTCACTAGCGCATGTGGCCGCTGCTGTACGTACTCCAGCGACTGGGCGTTTCGTCATGAACAAAGCGCGGCTCTTCTCACGCGACGCTCTGCTGTCGGCTGTGTTCGAAGTCCACCGCCCGATGCTGCGCGAGCGAGACTGCGAAGAAAGAGAAAGCCATTACGATGAATCGATACGCATACAGTTTGTGGCTCGCTCCAGGAACCCTGAATCCGGACATGTTGTCATTGCTTGGGGGACGCATTTTGCACATCTGCCGGCTTTCGCCAGCGAAGCCGTCCCCGACTTTCCGTCGCTGGCTTCTGCGGGATGCATGCCGCCTCCCGCCGAAGGAGAGGGGCCCTCCGAGGGCGACGCCGTGTCTGGAGGCTCCTAGGAGGAGGAGGAGGAGGAGGAGGAGGAGGAGGAGGAGGAGGAGGAGGAGGAGGAGGACTCCAGAAACCCTGAACCCGAAAATGTTGCCGCCTCACCTCTGCATTCGTCACCAGTCGGCTACACGCAAGAGCGACCCCGGGCAATAGAGGGACCTCGGGCGTGCGGCTTCTGGGAGGCCGCGGGGAGGCCAAGCGCAAGCGCGCAAGAGGCCACTGTCGCATCGAGTTGGGCGATCGAGGGACGACCCCAGTGGGCCTCGGGCGTCGCGTCATGGGCGAGCGCCCACTGTGGGGACGGGGGACGGGGGGGGGAGAAAGGGGCAACGATCGGACCCTGAAGGCCCCCCCCCCTTCGGGAGCCCCGCAAGGGCCCCTTCAGAGGGCCCTGAAGCGCTTTTTATCTGCAGCCCTCGCTGCCCCTCCACGCATCAACCCCCATTACAATCGGATCCAGGCCAGAAGAACATCCCCTGAGAACATGAAGCCCTCCACCAGCTGAACTAAACAGAGCATCCAAGGGCACCCTCCCCAGGGTGCAAGTCAACATCTGACAAGCACGACGAACACTAAGGTACCCTCCCCGAACCCACTTCGATCTTCGGGGATCCACTGGCCCGGGTCAATCCAGACCCAGATCACTCAGGCCTTGCAATCCTACAAGATCCTTCAGGATCCTGCAAGATCCGGCGCTCTGACTGGCCCCCGTTTGCATTGACCCCCGTCCCTGGCATTGACCCCGGCTATACCTCGGTCCGACTGCACGCGACGCCCAATGGCCCGCACCGAAGGCCTCTTGCGTGCAAATCGAGCCTTCGGCGCCGGCAGAAGCCCGCCGCCGCTCCACCTCCGCTGGCCTCCCGCCGAGGGCGAGGACGCGCCGAAGGCGAGACCCTCTCCGGGGCGCGACATCTGAAGGGTCGAAAAAACGCAACAGGGGCCCAACCACAAGAAACCTTCCACAAGAAACCCAACCCTGAGACCCCAGGACGTCCATTGAACTTTCGTGTGGGAGCGTCGCGCTTTCCATAGCAGAACCATCGAAACCCAAGAAACCCAAGGCACCCTAGAGGAAAGCTGGGTGCTTCTTGGCATGGGCTTCCACTGTAAGACGATACATTCGGGTGAGGGTGAAGATACATCCGGGTGAGGACAAATCCGGGTGGGGATCAATCGGGAGTCTTGGAGATCTGGCGGCTCTGGAAGATGCCTCGGGCGCCGCGGCCGTCTCAAAGCGTGCCAGAGCACTCGGAAAGCGCTCCTGAGCGCTCTGGGACGGATTCATCCTCGCCTCGTCCGAAAGAAACCCTGGAAACAAAAAACACTGCCATGTCTTGGGAGGCTGAATGTTACTTCCGCCGCCTTCCGCCAGCCTTTCACCGGCTTCCGCCAGCGGAGGCGGCCTCAATGTACTTGCGCCGGCTCCCGCCGTCGTCCGAAGAGGAAGAGACGGTCCTCCGACCCTCGAAGACGAGGCCCTGTCCTGATTGCTTCGCATATCCGCATACGCGGGTATGCCCGAGGGGCAGGGGCAGCGCGAGAGGCATACAGCTGCGCAGCGCACGGGCCGTGGGCCTGTGACACACCTCTGGCAGGTGTTGCAGTGGTGGGCTTTCTTCTCCTTGCGCAGCACCAGACTGAGACACCCTGCTCAACATGTCTCCTACTCTCGTAACCTATCCCCCTGCTGCTGCAAGCTCGCGTCGTGACGACCGGCGCGGTTTCTCACACTGCGTGGATTCCTCAACCATGAATCAGAGTTAGGTCGGACATGTCCCCCTACAGGCGGATTTTGGACGAAAAAGGAAAGATACCCACCAAATATTCTCAAATAGTCATAAGTCATAGAAACATCGTCCCCTGACCATCTTTTTACTATTTTGAACATTCCTCCTGTAGAAGGACACGCCCGACTTGGAACCAGAGCGGCTTTCCGATCACTCAGATCGCTACATATCCGTTCGTTTTTGGCCACAGGCGGCGTTCCACCTTATTCACCCGCGCGGGGGCTGCTGCCGCGCCGGCGCGACAACAATTCACCATACAGTGGAGGCCAGTCCACAGGACACCTTCCACAAGAAACCCAGCCCCGAGACCCAAGGACGCCCATCGACTCTTGGGTGCGGCTCCACAAGCACAGCCATCGCGACCCGAGAAACCCAGGGCACCCCGGAGGCAAGCTGGGTGCTCCTTAGCATGAGTCCCCACCGCGCACGTCATCGCAGGTCCGCCCTCCTCTTCCTGCCGGGCTGTGCTGACCCTGGGCTCCCCGAGCATCGAGGGGGTGTCCGGACGTCGTGCAAGGTGCTCGGGCGTTCGGGGCCCCGTCAGAAGCTCCAGGGGCTCTGGGCCTCAGGGCCCCTCTGCTTCTTCCTGCCTGGCCACCTCCTGCCTTGCGTGCCCTGCCTGCCCACCTCCTCCTCGTCGCTGTCGCTCTCCTCCTCCAGCCTCCTCCTTCTTCGTCGTCGTCGTCGTCCTCCTCCTCCTCGTCCATCCGTGTTCCTTCAGGCGGCTCCTCCTCGTCGCACTCCCAGACGTGCCGGTAGGGCGGGCCAAGCGTTTCGCTTCAGATTTTCTCGCGATTGATGGTCCTGAAGCTTAACACTTGTAACAGCTTCAAGGATGGAGCGCTGATCGCGTTCTGAGCGCAGCGCGCATTCGTGTTAAGGCTTGCAACCGCCTCAAGGATGGAAGGCACGCCCTTTTCAAAATGTGGACCTCGCTCTCCCTGGCGCCGCGCACATTCGTTTTAAATGCTTGCAGCAGCTTCAAGGATGGAGGGCGGGTGGTTTGCTAAGTGTGGCTCTCGCCCTCACCACCGCGAGCACTCGTGGCGACAAGCTCGGCAGCTACTTAAAAAGATGGAGGACACGTCCTTTTCCAAAATGCGAGCCGCGGCCTAATGCCGCGACTCTTCGCCGCAAATGTATGCAACAACCTCCAGGATGGAGGGCGGGTGTTTTTCTAGATGTGGTTATCGCCCTTCTCGCCGTGCACATTCGTGGTTAAAGCTTCGCGGCAGATTCAAACATGGAGAACGGTTCCTTTTCAAATTGTGGTTTTCACCATCGCGCCGCGCACATGCGTGATTAAAAGTTGCAACAGCTTCACGGGCGGAGGGCATGTCTCTTTCACCAAGTAGCTCTCGCCCCAGCGCCGCGCACATTTGTTTTAAATGCCTGCGACAGCTTCAAGGATGGAGGGCAGGTGCTTGTATGAATGTGGCTCTCGCTTCTGCGCCGCGCGCACTCGTGGCTTTAAGCTTCGCATGAGCTTCAAGGATGGAGGGCGGTTCGTTTTCGAAGTGCGGCGCTCGCCTGAGCGCCGCGCACATTCGTCTTAAACCATGGCGACAGTTTCAAAGGGTCGTATTGCTGAAGTCCCAGGACTTGCGTTCTGGCACGATGTAGGGTTGGCAGGACGCAACAGTCATGTTTATTCGCGGAATTGATGTCTCAGGAACGAGGTTCTGGTACGAGCTACAGTCACCTTGACTCGTTGCGTTGCAGTCCAAGAAATGGTAACGTGGCGCGACTGGAGACCCTCAGACGATCTTCCAATGAGGCAGTTGCCGCAGAGAACATGAATTCTTGTAGGGATCTATGGGGGGAGCCCACTTTGACCGTCTTGAAGCTGTCCTCTCCGCTGCTCGTGCAAACATCCCACCCTCCCACTGGCAACTTGGTCGCAAGACATCTTAAGACAAGACCGTGACGGTAGGTACCACATGGCACTTGGCCACGACACCGACGCCGACGACGACAGCGACAACGACGACGACGGCGCCGCCGACACCGACTACGACGACACCGACGACGCCTCCAACGACTTCGACGACGACAACGACGACGACGACGACACCGACGACGACGATGACGCCGACGCCGACGACGACGATGACGACGACGACGACACCGACGAAGCCGACGACGACGACGACGACGAAAACAACGACGACGACGACAACGACGACGCCAACGAAGACGACGACGAGGGAGGAGGGAGGACGACGACGGCGACAACGACGACAACGACGACAACGACGAGGCAGGAGGGAGGACGGCGACGACGCGAACGACGAAGAAGGAGGAAGGACGGCGACGCCGACGACGACAACGACGAGGGAGGAGGGAAGACGACGACGATGACAACGACGACGAAGACGACGACGACGGCGACGAAATAGGAGGGACGACGACGAGACGCCGACGACGAACGACGACGACGAGGGAGGAGGAGGAAGACGACCACGGCGAACACGACACGAACGACCACGTACGGCCAAGAGGACGACGACGACGAGACACGATGAAACACACGCGCCGACGTAGGCGAACCGACGACGACGACGACGCGGAGGAGGAAGGACGGCGACGACGACGACGACACGACGAGGACGACGCAAGAGCGCGCCGCACGCTTTTGTTGAAAATCCGTGTTGCGAAACCTTGTGGTTTTGTAGGTTTTTTGGACGCGCGATTTTGAATTAATTCCTTCCGAAACCGATGGGTTTTGAAGGTTTTCGGCATACGCGCGCGACGACGCGCGCGTCTGCACTTTGTCCCATTTTTTTGCTTGGCGGGATTCTTCGCGACGGCACCGCGCAAGGGCGTTCGACAGATTTCGACACTGCGCACCGCGAAGCCCGTTTTAATAGCATTTTGGCGAAATATTGAAAAATCCATTGTTTTCTTAGATTTCGCAAGAGCTTTCGCGGAAGCTATTTTAGCAAATCAGTGTTGCGAAACCCCGTGTTTTTGTAGGTCTTTTGGAGACTCGATTGCGAAATCCTTCCGGCACCGAAGGTTTTTAAAAGAATTTCGGCATGCGCGCGCGACGACGCGCGCGTGTGCACTTCGTCCCATTTGTTGCAAGGGATTCGCGAAAAAGTGCTATGTTAGAACCAAAAATGTCACATCATAGTTTTTTTTACAAAGGGAACTTGGGGGGGACCCGTCTGGCATGGGACGTGCGATTCATATTTGGTATGGACTGTGGTCATAATCATATTTGATTTCATACCCGAAAGGTGTCGCGATAACTCCAGGCTCCAGGGGGGAGAGTCTTTTTAGAAAAGGAGAATCAATCACTTGCCAAAATTGAAGTTGTCACTTCCACTGCTCGCAACAATCATCCCACCCCCCCCCGCAACTTGGTTTGCAAAACCATGCGGACCGAGCACAGAATATCGCTCCGGGTCGTCTTGGAGCCCCTCGGGGGCCCTCAAGAGCGCCCCAAGAAGGCCGGATAAGCAAGACGGCCGACGACGACGACGACGACGGCGGCGACGACGACGACGCCGACGTCGACGACGACGAAGACGACGACGCCGACGCCGACGCCGACGACACAGACGACGACGACGTCGCCAACGAAAACGACGACGAGGGAGGAGGGAGGACGACGACGGCGACAACGGCGACAACGACGACAACGACGACAACGACGACAACGAGGGAGGAGGGAGGACGGCGACGACGCGAGCGACGAAGAAAGAGGAAGGACGGCGACGACGACGACGACAACGACGAGGGAGGAAGGAAGACGACGAGACGACGACGACGACAACGACGAGGCGACGAATAGGGGACGACGACGAGACGCGACGACGACGACGAACGACGACAGGGAGGAGATGAAGGACGACCACGGCGACACCGACGACGGAAAACGACCACGACGCCAAAGAGGATGACTACGACGAACACCGATGAAAGACAGAGGACTACGTAGGCGACGACGACGACGACGAGGGCGGAAGGAGGACGGCGACGACGACGACGACGACGCAAGAGCGCGCGCGCGCACGCTTTTGTTGAAAATCCGTGCGGCGAAAGCTTGGGTTTTTGTAGATTTTTTGGACGCGCGATTTCGAAATCCTTCCGAAACCGATGGGTTTTGAAGGATTTCGGCGTGCGCGCGCGACGACGCGCGCGTCTGCACTTTGTCCCATTTTTTTCAGAGGGTTCTCGCGACGGCACACGCGCAAGGGCGTTTCGACAGATGTTCGACATGCCGCCGCGCGAAGCCCGCTGAAAAACAAATTATTTTCTTCTTAGATTTCGCAAGAGCTCGCGCGTTAAGCTTTGAAACACATCAGTGGTTACGACCCCGTGGATTTGTATGGTTTTTTTGAAACTCGATGCGAATCCTTCGGGCACGCCGAATGTTTTTTTGAAGGATTCGGATGCACGCGCGACACGCCGCGCGTGTGCACTTCGTCACATTTGTTGCAAGGGATTCGCGAGAAAGTTTTATGTTAGAACAACAACTGTCCCGGCGTATCGTCTTTTACAAGGGAACCTCAGGGGGGGCAGCCCGGTTGGCCTGGGACATTGTGATTTCCTGGGACATTGTGATTCATATTTAGGCTGGACATGTGGTCAATCATATGTGATTTACATACCCGAAAGGGGTAGCGATACTCCGGGGGAGGGGGGGTCGAGTCTATTCTCTTTTTAGAAAGGAGAATTGAGAGGGAGGGTTGATTGCAACATCAATGATGCGTCTTGGGTTTACATTGGGCTTCTTCCTCCTCCTCCCTCCTCCTCCACCTCTTCCACCTACTCTCTCCTCCTCCCTCCTCCTCCTCCTCCTCCTCCTCCTCCTGCTCCTCCTCCT